ACCTCCTCCCACTTGGCAAAGTCATCTCCAACCCGTGGTGGAAATTCTAAATTGTAATGGTAAACCACACAGTAATTAACATTATCTCCTCCCACTTGGCAAAGTCATCTCCAACCCGTGGTGGAAATTCCAAATTGCCATGGTAAACAACACGGTGATTAACGTTATCTCCTCCCACTTGGCAAAGTCATCTCCAACCCGTGGTGGATATTCTAAATTGCCATGGTAAACCACACGGTAATTAACGTTATCTCCTCTCACTTGGCAAAGTGATCTCCTGTCCGTGGTGGAAATTCCAAATTGCCATGGTAAACCACACGGTAATTAACGTTACCTCCTCCCACTTGGCAAAGTCATCTCCTGCCGGTGGTGGAAAATCCAAATTGCCATGGTAAACTACACGGTAATTAACGTTATCTCCTCCCACTTGGAAAAGTAATCTCCTGCTCGTGGTGGAAATTCCAAATTGCCATGGTAAACTACACGGTGATTAACATTATCTCCTTCTACTTGGCAAAGTCATCTCCTGTCTGTGGTGGAAAATCCAAATTGCCATGGTAAACCACACGGTAATTAACGTTATCTCCTCCCACCTGGCAAAGTCATCTCCTGCCCGTGGTGGAAATTTCAAATTGCCATGGTAAACTACACGGTGATTAACGTTATCTCCTCCCACTTGGCAAAGTCATCTCCAACCCGTGGTGGAAATTCCAGATTGCCATGGTAAACTAAACGGTAATTAACGTTATCTCCTCTCACTTGGCAAAGTCATCTCCAGCTTCGGAGTTAACAGTCACTACTATGCTGGTCTTGGGGCAGGGACACATTGCCAGAAGTTGATGATGGAGGAGCGTTGGTCGAGATTAACGGTGAACGGGCAAGGCAGGGGAAACATTCCCTGCGAGGACGTCCAACAGAGATAGAGAGAAATTTTGATCTAAAGCTTTCGTGACTGCAGTAATTCATATTCTTAGTTTTTTCGGTAAAGTCACGTTGAAGAGAAACAACAAAATAATATAATATATATAAAACAATAAAAATTCTCACGACGTTTCGACCATAACTCAAACGGTCATCTTCAGGTGTGTTGGTTTGCATAAATTTATTTTTAAACGGCGCATTTATTTATTTATAAACACAAGATCCAGGTCCGTTTCAACACATTACATAAAATCCGTGATCTGGTTCCGTCTGTAAAAGATGTGATTCCGGACATACAATACCCTGGTGTCTACAAACTAAGTTGCCTCTGTGGTAGTAGTTACATTGGAGAAACCAAACGCCATGTCTCGGACCGCATTCGTGAACACAAAGCAGACCTTAAACACGGTAGGACCAACACCTCGGCCGTAGCAGATCATTGTTCTAATTCAGTAGGCTCACATGCCATTGACTTTTCCAAGACAGAGGTTCTTTGTAAGCCATCTGGCTTCCATGAGAGATTCGTTCATGAGGCTATCCACATATACAAGCACAGAGACAATTTCAACCGAGAAGATGGATTCTATCTTAGCAATCATTGGAAAGATTTGATAAACCATTTCAGTTCTTAATTGATTGTTCACGCTTACAGTGGCTTTCAGACAGCATACATTATAAAAAATTTCGTCTCCCCCCTCCTCTTTTCAAAATATAGATGGACTAGTCCTGGGCAAACTGCCAAATCGCTGCGCGTGACGCTAACGTTTTTTTATAAATAAATAAATGCGCCGTTTAAAAATAAATTTATGCAAACCAACACACCTGAAGATGACCGTTTGAGTTATGGTCGAAACGTCGTGAGAATTTTTATTTGTTTTATATATATTTTATTATTTTGTTGTTTCTCTTCAACGTGACTTTACCGAAAAAACTAAGAATATAATAGAGATAGAGAGGTGAGATGGTTTATACGCGTCCCGTTGCCGTGAGAAATTGCAATGACTGTGGGGAGGGTCTTCCTTTAGAAATGGATGGATCATGGCCGATGATTATTGGGTGTATGTCATCTAGCCCTCAACAACAACAAACAAACTTTAATTCATAACATTATACATTTACCGTCGTTATAATACTGCACACACAAACCTGCTTTTAGGCCCAAATACCTTTAAGATGTATTATAAATTTAAACAATACAATCTCAACCATTTGAAATGACACGCGAGGCTCAGGATGCTTTCTAACCTACAGTGAATTGTATCACAGAGCATGGCAGGGATCAGTCGACTGACAATAGACTGAAAGTTGGAATCACCTCCAGTACTTTTTTCGTCAATTATTCTAGCCTCTTTTAAAAAATTACAGCTGCCCCCACATCCTGCCTACCGAAGGCAGGAAACCCCCGACAAGCCACGCCCAGAGTTACAAATCTGTAAACGTCACAAAGCACCGCGAATCAGACTATTAAATTTTCTGGGGGAATCCGATGACCTATAAAGCTCTTTTTCACAGATGTCGCACACATGGAACCGGAGATCTACGGCACACTATTACCCAACTATTTTCATGTTATCCGATTAGTCAATGGCACCGATTATCGACAGCGTAATCGATTACTTAATAATCGGATATCTAGACTCTTAACCACAAGCCAGAGCTGCACTGCGCCCTACTAGCCAGCAGGGGGCAGTGCAGCCACGTGTTTACAAAGGTCTTGAATCCAAATGAACTGCGATGTTGGTTTTCAAGAAGAAAACCCATGGGTAGATTTACCACAATTGACAACAACCTTTATCAACTTCTTTGGTTCTTTCGGTAAAGTCACGTAGAATGAGAATAAAATAATAAATTAATAAAATAAAATAACACAATAATAATATTGTTATATGAATAATAATAATATTGTTATATGAATAATAATATTGTGTTATTTTATTTTATTAATTTATTATTTTATTCTCATTCTACGTGACTTTACCGAAAGAACCAAAGAAGATGAATCATTGCAGTCACGAAAGCTTTAAATCGAAACCTTTATCAATCCACTGCTAGATCAGAAGCAGATTATTTATTTATACTGGAGGAATCCGATTAGATATTTTTCACAGGCGTCCCATGCCGTGTTGGTCACGGCGTTTGTTTGACCATATTTCACTACGCCGAACAGCGCTGGTTAAGTCAGTGGGGGGGGGGGGGGGGCTGGTTCCCGTTAAAAAAACAATCGCCACTAATTGTTAACCATGGCTGGATAACGAACCCTGATGACCGGATTAATATCACATACCTGTTAACAAATCCTTCAGTGCCTAGCTTATTACAGACCAAATCAGACCTTATTGGTCACCCCGTGCCCTTATACATCTCAACGTTCATCCGACAAAGTTCCATCACAAGGGAGAAGCACAAACAAAAATAAAAATGTTTTGCCCGTATGGACCTGAAAGCTGAATTTCCCTCTACAAGAATACGGGTAAACCGTATGGGTTTACAGGTACGATATCACATCACAGTGCGTGAACCGCTGTCACCGCTCCACGCCAATCATGAATTCGCGTCCTTTATTGAACAAGGTGACACCATTGAGACCATGGTGACTAAGAGACACCACTCATGATTATACAAAGAGCCCATTTGTCACTCCACTGCTGGATGAGTTCCTTCTCTCGATAACGCGTGCGTGGTTTCTTGCAATCACTCAACATTGCACCCCAAAGCTCAACGCAATATACATTTTTTACGAATAAATTGTCTTAACCTTTCAGAATTCCTGGATATTGATATAATAACCTTGGCTGGTGCTGTTTTTTTTACCCTTTCTGCAGTACTTCTCAACCTGTCTTGCACTTTCCAGCGGGATATGGGCGCAGTTCCACGATTATCAGACAGATATTTCACGCACTCCCAACAGCGTCGCCGCTGTTGAGCCTTCACTAAAGGGAAGCTCTCGTGAGTGGCTACGAGAGTGTATTTGGCCTACTCTTCCACACCAGCCAGACGTCTCGGAAGAGGCGTGAGTAACCCACCACAATCAACTTGGCGATCGGCTGTGCTTGCAACGCCATTCACATTCATGATCAATTTGGTCGACACAAATGAAAAATTATTCATAATCTGTATGCCACCAACTTCATAACATCTCCATTATTATTTAGTCGTTACCAATCACGGCGAATTCGTCTCTCCCCAGCTCTTAATGTTTCCACACCACCACCACCACACCAAGCGCTCGTTTCAAACCCCACGGCGAATTCGTCTCTGCCCAGCTCTTAACGCTTTCCACACCACCACACCAAGCGCTCGTTTCAAACCCCACGGCGAATTCGTCTCTCTCCAGCTCTTAACGCCTTCCACACCACCACACCAAGCGCTCGTTTCATGTCAGAGTTGACCTAGGGGAGAGGCTCGGGATCGGCTCGAATATTCGCCGGTGAACATTCGCGAACGGGAATCCAACTCGGCTCGCCAGGTTCGGCGATTTTTGCCAACGCACTGCTGGATGAAGGGGGGGGGGGGGGGGGCCGGGTTTATCCACGCCATGTGGGTTTTATAGGGTGGTGGTAAAAAAGGTTTCTGACCATACTTCACCACGCTGGTCAGTGCGGGGTTCAACACGTGCCAGCAATGGCACTTGCTGTGCCCGCAACAAGCTTTCAACCTCAGCGTGGTGCACCCCCTACGTATCCACTGCTGTACAGCACAACAGTTACTGACTGCCGCACACAGCCCAGTGCCCATAACACCCGCTGTTAGTCACCGAACTTAGCCACCGAGTTGTCGGTAACCACGACTCACGGCACTCTACAGCACTGTGCTGCTGTGCCCAACAGCATTCACCACCGCTCTGAACCCAGCGTGGTCCCTAACTTCGCTACTGCGGAAGACGTGGGGAGTAGGGGAGTGGGGGTGAGGTGAGGAGGCCTTCATCCAGCAGTGGATTGAACTTGACGAGAACCGCGGAAGGAGAGGTGGGGTGTACATGTAACGCGCGCGTGTGTGTGTTGTGTGTGTTTGTTTAATACTCCGGAAATGAACGACTCCGCGTTTTATTAATGGAAGGGTAAATTAAGAGAGCAACTCACAAGCAAGCGACGTCTCCTTCCGTCCAAACGCATTTCCCGACTAATCATTGTTAAACCTCAACTCAAAGAGTGGCAACAACAACAACACTCGGGCGCCGCCGCCCGACCCCGCTCGCTCCACCAAATCTAAATTTTCCACCGGCCTGGGATTCTCACGCGCCCGTCCGCCTCGCCATTGTCACTGTTAGTTGACGACGAGAGACAATCGCCACCCCCCCTCTCTCCCCCTCCTCCTCTCCACAGCAACTCTCCCTAGCCACAACAACTCTCCCTAGCCACAGCTCCCTCCCCAACACCACCACCACCACAGCCGCCCTCTCTCTCTCTCTGTCGCTCTCCCCGCGACCACGGCAACGAGAACCGCGCGGATCGCTCAAACAATGCCCGGTCAATGTTCGCCGTAACGAGCGTCGCCATTGGGCACGCGGCGTGTCACCCCTCCCACCCACCCCGTGACGTGGCGACGGCTGAGTGGCCAAGAAGGCGCGAGCCTTCTTGGCCACCCCTCACCCGGCCCCCCCCCCTGCCCCCCCCCCAGCCTCCCCGCAGCCCCTCCCCCCAGCCTCCCCCCCAGCCTCCCCCAAGCCCCTCCCCCAAGCCTCCCCAGCTCCCCCAGTCTCTCCAGCCCCCCCCCAGCCTCCCCAGCCCCCCAGCCCCCCCAGCCCCCGCGAGGGCGGGGTACATTGTGGGGAAGTTTACCCCCGGGGAGGAGGGGGGCGAGGGGAAACACGAGTATAAGACGCACCTTTGGGAAAGTTAAGACTCATGCGTACCGGAGTATAAGACGCACCTTTGGGAAAGTTAAGACTCATGTGTATCGGAGTATAAGACGCACCTTTGGGAAAGTTAAGACTCATGCATACCGGAGTATAAGACGCACCTTTGGGAAAGTTAAGACTCATGCGTACCGGAGTATAAGACGCACTTTTGGGAAAGTTAAGACTCATGCGTACCGGAGTATAAGACGCACCCTTGGGAAAGTTAAGACTCATGTGTACCGGAGTATAAGACGCACCTTTGGGAAAGTTAAGACTCATGCGTACCGGAGTATAAGACGCACCTTTGGGAAAGTTAAAACTCATGCGTACCGGAGTATAAGACGCACCCTTGGGAAAGTTAAGACTCATGTGTACCGGAGTATAAGACGCACCCTTGGGAAAGTTAAGACTCATGCGTACCGGAGTATAAGACGCACCTTTGGGAAAGTTAAGATTCATGCGTACCGGAGTATAAGACGCACCTTTGGGAAAGTTAAGACTCATGCGTACCGGAGTATAAGACGCACCTTTGGGAAAGTTAAGACGCATGCGTACCGGAGTATAAGACGCACCTTTGGGAAAGTTAAGACTCATGCGTACCGGAGTATAAGACGCACCTTTGGGAAAGTTAAGACTCATGCGTACCGGAGTATAAGACGCACCCTTGGGAAAGTTAAGACTCATGCGTACCGGAGTATAAGACGCACCTTTGGGAAAGTTAAGACTCATGCGTACCGGAGTATAAGACGCATCTTTGGGAAAGTTAAGACTCATGCGTACCGGAGTATAAGACGCACCTTTGGGAAAGTTAAGACTCATGCGTACCGGAGTATAAGACGCACCTTTGGGAAAGTTAAGACGCATGCGTACCGGAGTATAAGACGCACCCTTGGGAAAGTTAAGACTCATGCGTACCGGAGTATAAGACGCACCTTTGGGAAAGTTAAGACTCATGCGTACCGGAGTATAAGACGCACCTTTGGGAAAGTTAAGACTCATGCGTACCGGAGTATAAGACGCACCCTTGGGAAAGTTAAAACTCATGCGTACCGGAGTATAAGTCGCACCCTTGTGAAAGTTAAGACTCATGCGTACCGGAGTATAAGACGCACCCTTGTGAAAGTTAAGACGCATGTCCCAAAAAAAACTTGAGCCTGGTGTCGTAAAGTTAGGCAAAATGTGGTTTTACTCATATCTACCGGATTACAAGACGCACCCTGGAAAGTAAGACGCACATCAGACTGGAGCCCAGTGTCATAAACACATGCACATTTTTGGTCTGACACATGTACCGGATAATAAGCTGCACTCCCCGATTTTTTTTTATATTGCACAGGGAAAAAGGTGCGTCTCATAACCCGGAGAATATGATCACGGTTAGGAAGGTCACCTTGAAGATGGAGCGATGCAGGTTGATAGATGAATCATTATCACGACACGGCATTACGAGAGTTATCTCGGGAGCCGGAGGGATATCGAGTACGCCTATATCGCGCAGAGGCTATATTATTGGCTTCAGATTCACGAATGGAATCGTGAGAGGCGAATGTAAAAATGTATTGATCGTGTCAACATTCTTGCAAATGTTCTGCTTTTGATTCACGGTCTGAACGACGGCGAGACGTAGCCCGGTGAGCGTGGAACGTTTGTCCGACGGTTCCAACCACGTGCCAACATTGGCACGTTACCTGTTCATCCAGGATATCCTCGATGCCCAAACCCAAATGAGTATTTTCTTTAATTTATTAGCAAATTTAGACAACTGCCGCCGGCACACGATGTTAGACTCTTGCAAATTGACCGTGGCGGCCGCTGGATTCGAACCGTAAATCTCAGGCGAACGCGCTCGCTCCCGCTGGGCCACGTCGACACACCATTGGAATGCGGTGCAAATGAGATGAACAATCACACGCGGCGGTACAGACGAGACTGACAATACCAACAACGCGTGTCCTCGCTCTTCAACCGATCCAGGAGGGCACGCGTGCAAGACACAGGCACGTGTCTAAGCAATCACCGCACTCACGTACATATGCCGTATATTCGTTGGTTCTTTCGGTAAAGTCACGTAGATAGAAAAAAAATAAAGTAAATTAAAAAATATCGTCATCCTCCTGATGACGACCGCTTGTGTTGTGATCGAAACGTTCAGTTATTCCTGATGACGATCGCTTGTGTTGTGATCGAAACGTCTAGTTCTTTTTACTTTACCGAAAGAACCAAAGAATATTAATTCATGCAGTCACGAAAGTTTGAAGTAAAAAAAATAATGCCGTATATTTTTATATTTTTATTTTATTTTATACGTGCACACGCAAAGCCAAAGACATTTTCTTACGGTATAGGATTCAGTGTTCGCACGATCACCAGCACAACAGGCACATCCATTGAAATACTGGGGAACAATAACTATTTTATATTTTAATTAATCTACGTTACAGAGAACTTTACAGGGCAACTTATATTCTATTTAGGGGTCATCGAGCGCCGTTTTCCAGGGCACTTTTCCAACGCAAGCCGACGGCGGCACACAGGGGGCAGAAGTGAAACGAGGAAGGGGTTGAGATGAGCGGCTGTCAGTGAGGGAGGTGGCGAATGGGATGGAGGCACAGGTGCCTGGGAACGGATCCGCTGATGTTGCGGGGGTAGGGAAGGAGGAACACGGTGGAGTGTGGCGGTGAATGAGGGCGAAAGATGGGTGCGACGTGGGTGAGAGGCGGCGGGGTATGGGGAGGGGGGCACACGCGTGAGATGGGTGATCATGGCTGGGCATGGATGAGGGTCGGTGGAAGGGTGGTAGGGCCAGAGGTCTGGTGGCCGGATAGTTGAGCTGATTGAGGAGCACAGCGGAGGGCCGGGGGAGAGTACGTGCACACGTAACAAAAACAACACTCGTCTATAAAAAGAAAAAAATATATAACGTGACGTTTCAGGCAATGACCCTTCTTAATTACAAATAGAGAGGCTTGGGACTCTCTATGTGCTGCCCATATGGACGTGCACACACAGCACATTTAAAGTCTCACACACACACAGCAATGTTCAAACACACATACGCGTACGCTGCGCTATGAGGATGGCACGAGTACGGCTGGCTACGGACGGTGCGAAAGAAGTTCAACATCGTACAACACGCAACATAACGTCACTACGATTCCGCGCCTCGTTTGGCTAGATTCCGGCTCCGTTGCTAACGCGGCCCTGGTCGCAAACCAAGCGAACGCATTTGAGTCCACGATGTCTGCAGAGCTCCTCGTCATTCGCGAGCCCGCTTCGCCTCCGTCATTTGCACGACCACCCCAGCCTCCTGCAACACAAGTCGCGCGCGCCGTCACACGAGTCACAAACTGCGACCTAAGTTCGACTCCCGACCAAGGCGCAAGGGCACGGCCGCCGGTCGTGGTTGTCAACTGCCGTCCTAAATACGTGGGGGGGGGGGGGGGGGTTGGTCTCCCATAGATTGGCTCAGCCTAAATTGTGTTATCTGGTCGCGTGCGCGTGTCGTGTGTGTGTCTGTGTGTTCGCGTCGCTGTGCTGGTGGTTAGCCACCCGAGTTCCCCGCTCGCAGCCAACACCGGTGACGAATGTCTGAACCGGTCCCGTAGGTCGGCACAGCCGTAAAATGAGTTCCTGGTGCGGTGTGTAAAGCATCAGCATTAGTGAAACAAAGACGGCCGCGTGCGTGGTGTTGGTCACACCCCCCCCCCCTCGTGAATCCGTTCCGTCATTCCTTAACAGGTGTTCCCTAACAGCGCTTGCCCCAACAGCCCGTTAAAGGCTATACGGAGCATCTTTGTCTTTGTATGGGAAGCGGTGGCTCACGGCACATAACAGTGGGAAAATCCGAAAGTCCTGGGCCTCTCCTAGGTCGACTCGGCATTTAAGCGAGTGCCCAACACGCGTGAACGGCAACGCAAGTTCGAATCCCGGCCACGGCGCACATCCAACATCGTTGTTGTATTGATCGTGCAGGAGCTGAACTCGCAAACTTCCCACTGCTCGCTGCTCGCGTTACCGCTGAGTCACCTGTCCGGTTGTCATCTTCTTCCTAACCCTGGAGATATGATGATGATGATGATAACGACGAAGCTGATGATACTGATGGTAATGCGAGTGTGCGCGTGTGTAAGCTCGCACCCGCTTGGTCGAGAGGCGACGAGGTGGCGCTCCGACCGCGCGACTCGCTGCTGAGAGACCCGGCTGCGTGGCGTCTCTGGAGCGGCTCAGCCGTCGCAGGGAACTCTCCACCCTCGCCCCGAGGTTCTCGGCAACTCCCCGCTCCGCGGCCATCTTTGCGTACAGGGCTGAGCCCTCGGAGCTCTTTTTCCCCATCAGGTGACCTGGCGAGACACGGACACGCAGCGTGACTTTGTTTAACGATGGATGTGTTTACGTGCTATGAAGAAGGGCCGTTTGCCCGAAACGTCACCTCTTACGTATATTTTTTTTACCTTTTAAGGGAACACAGTGTTATTGACGCCGAACACGAGCGTCTCACGCCG